GGGGTGGCGGGATGAGCCAAAAGACCATGTGACAAGCCCATCTAGCAAGCCAGTTGCCTCCCCTGTCCCAGCCCCAGGGTGTGCTTCTCCTTAAAGCTGTTTAAAGCAATTCAAAGCATGTCCAAGATAGAGCCCTTATCACAATATCTGCCCCTGTTGGTCACTTAAAGATACACTTTAGGGTATGTGGATGCTAGGTAAATCCATTTAAAAAAAAAAAATCCTACCTGCCTTGTTTGGGGGGCATGTGGGTTTAATGGTAGGCTGAACTGAAGGGACAGCTGGGAAGGGATTTACAGTTTATCTGGAGTGACTTTAGGACTTTTGAGCGAGTTGTGGGATGTGGATGCAGTTAGGACAGGCAAGAGCAGAGAAGTTGGTGCATCTGAGAGTGGGTCATGCAGCATGAGCTTTGAGGGATGGATTTTTAAAGCACGGAAATGAAAACCCATCCCTTGGCAGTGTCTGGGGTACGGAGCATCCGGAGGGTGGAGCTGTCTCTTTTGGGTCTTCCTTCCCTTCCATTATTCTCAAGTGAGGCCGGTTGGGCTCCCTTCTCCCTCTCTGGCAGGCTGTTCTCTCATGTCGGTGACCCCTTCCTGGATGACCCCCTGCCCCGGGAGTACGTCCTCTACCTCCGGCCCACCGGCCCCTTAGCACAGAAGCTCTCCGACTTTTGGCAACAGTCGAAGCAGATCTGCGGGAAGAACAAGGCACACAACATCTTCCCCCATATCACCCTCTGCCAGTTCTTCATGGTGAGCCACACACCCCCACCCCCCACCCCCCGCCCCTGCCCTGGGGAGCCCGGCTGCCATACCCCCTCCAGCACCTCGCCACCTGGAATCAGAGTCCAGAGCCTCCCAGGCAGCCGGCGGAAAGAGTCACGGGCTCCTAGGCTTGGGTGGGCCAGCGCGGAATGAGTAGGGTCCATGGGTACTTTCCCTCGCTCCTCTTTCTAATACCTGCTGAGGCCCAGGAGCACCGCAGGTGTGATGACTGTTGTTCCTCAGTCACGATGACTGTTGTTCCTCAGGACTCCAGGGACAAGCCCGACCCACTGAGTCAGGATTTGGACTGGCAGCCGCAGCAATGAAACAAATACAGTGTTCACCCTTGTCCACTGCAAGAGTAGAAATGAGAGCTCTGGGAATAAGAAATGTAGTCTACAGACAGGGGGAAGTGACTTCAGCCTCATGGACAGATACTGTCCACATGTCTGTCTCACCAGATCCTTCCAGAGACGGCAGATACCTGTGACTTGCCATGGTTACCCAGTCCATCATCCTAGCTATCACAGAGCTTACTTAATGACTAAATTAAATCCCCCTCACCATAATAAATATAGATTTCATCTACTTTGGTTTGCTGTGGAGAAGGAGTAGAACTGGTTTATCCAGGTATATTCAAGAGGAGGCAGAATGGGAGCATGTTAAGACAACATTTCAAAAAATTATTTTGAGGTATTTTTTTTTTCCAGCTTTTCTCGGTCTCTTTAAGGTAAAAATGTGTTCCTAACACCTTCTTTCTTACCGTTCACTCTGAAAATTAAAATGATTACCACTTCCTCTTAGTCATCCCAGGATCTTTCTCAAAGAAACTCTGAGAGTTTTAGAGACACTCTTCCCCCCGCTCTCCACCCCCATGCTCCTGAATGAAGCATCTTGTCTTCCCCTGCCAGTGTGAGGACAGCAAGGTGGATGCCCTGGGGGAAGCCCTGCAGACCACAGTCAGTCGCTGGAAATGCAAGTTCTCGGCCCCGCTGCCCCTGGAGCTCTATACCTCCTCCAATTTCATTGGCCTCTTTGTGAAGGAAGACAGCGCAGAGGTCCTCAAGAAGTTTGCCGCCGACTTTGCTGCAGAGGCTGCATCCAAAACCGGTGAGCTAACAGCCCTGGGTCCTATGAATCAAAAAACTGGGAAGGAAAGGGATAGGAAGGTATGGAGGAGTGGGCTGGGGCCGGGAGCCAGCCGGGGGTCCTGCAGGAACGCGCAGAACATGACAAGGAACAGTGCCTTTTCCTGCAACAGCCTTCACCTCTTTGCCCCCTTTTTAAAAACAGCAACTACTGTTCTGCTGAGCCTCCTGAGAGAATGTCCGGGGCCTGCCCCGACACCCAAGTTGAAGGCACTCAAATGGCTCTTCCACACTGAACCATAAATGCAACTTTGTAGCCGCATCGTCTTTCCCATTCAGAGTTAAGGAACCTTCCTCCCCCCCACCCCCCAACCTCCCCGCCATTTGGCTGGTCTCACGGCTCACTCTGTGAGGACCCAGGGCTGTGCGCCGGTGGTGGGATAGCAGAGAGAGTGAGTGGAAACAGTATCAAAGAATAAATCCACAGAGCCAACGCCCGCAACTCGCTGAAACCCATGAGATGGGTCCCTTGAATCCTCAACAGCTGGTCCAAAAGTGGCACTTCTTCAAGATGTTTCTTGCTCTTTCCATGGCAGGTCTTAGTTCAAGCTAACTGAGATTTCCCGTCAAGGGAAGTAGCGTAGAGAGCGAGACTCGGGATATGTGTTGACTTAGAGGCAGGAGGCAGGGGAGGGGGTCAAATGGGGAGAAGTTGCCAAAGCTTTCCTGTCTGCCAACAGGTACAGACGAACTCACTTAGGTCAGGGAGAGCCTTACCTGCAGTGGGACAGACAGACAGTGGGGTGGAGGGAGGGAAGAGTTGGCAGGGGGTGGTTTCTGTTGGCCCCCTTGAGAGAGAAATCACAATCATGGGTATTTATTGGGGACCACTCTGTGTTTATCTGTGAAGCGTGCCACAGAATTGGTTTCTCCTGGTCCAGGGGACAGATTCAAGCACCTGTGATAACAGAGCTCTGAGAAGAGAGAGGCCATCCCAGGGTGGAGTGGCTCCAACTTCAGAGAAAAAAGAGAATGCACACTGGATGATGATGATCCCTACAATGGAGGAAGGGCCCTGAGGGGGGCAGGCAGCGTGAACGCAGGCAGGAAGGGGCAGGGTGTGTGCAAAGGACTGTGTGGAGGCCGTCCAGGCCAGGGCAGAGCTGGGTGTGGGTGGTACAGCTGAATCTGAGCATCACATGCAAAGCTGGAGGAAGCCCAGAGCTGGCCAGCTCCCACCCCTCCCCCTGCCCCCCCCACCAGAGGTAACTCTTCTACTTGGGGAGCAGGGGCCTCCTTAGAGCCCCTCCCCAGGCACGCCTTCTTCCCAGGGACCAGGCTCTGCTTCCTGATGTCACTGGAGCCCGCCATCTCATAGCTTAATATTTCAAAGAAATAACATAATAGAGAGGCAAATTATTTCCTGTTCCTATCCCTCTAACTCAGGGAAATGGCTCTTTTTCATCCCACAGTAGCTATTATCAAAACCACTAAAACTGTCACAAGACCCAAAGCTGGTGGTGTAGCCACAAACCCAAATCCTTCACAAATGCATAAAGTGGATCTCAGCCAGGGCTGCGGCCGATTCTGAAGGCACATGAGGAGACAGAGGCAAGAGGCCCTTGCGCCCTTCCCTTGTTGGGAGGGGGAGGGCCAGCTCCTCTCCGAGATCTGCAGCCACTCTCTTGAAGAACCTGGCCAGCTGGGTTCCCTGCCCCTGTGCGGCCCCCTGGTGGTGACTGGGAGAACTGGGTGGCCCTGCCCTGTGGAGCTGCTCTAGCTCCTTGCCTCCTTGTGTGCAGAGCCGGCCATCCCATCTTGGCCCTAGAACTTAAGCCTCGGTATTCTAGAGTTTTTGGCAGACCCAGATTCCTTCCGCAAGTAGATTTGGTGTCCTTTGTCCTAGGTGGTTTAAGGAGCTCCGTGCCTATAATGAGCTGTGCACTGGGGATACATTGTGAACAGGACCCAGAAAGCCCTTGCCTCATAGGGCTTACACCAGAGAAATCCACTATAGTATGACAGAAAGCGATCCAACTGCTACTTCTATCCCCGTGAAACATAAGCAAGCCCCTTAATTTCTCAAATTCCCTACGTCCCCTCTGGTTGAATCTTCTGCAGTGTTCTAGCTTAGACAGTAGATGGATCTCCCCCATGCAGAGATGTACAAAGGAGAAATAAAATCCATTGCCTTGGGTAGGTAGGTTGGTTGGTTTTTTTTACTTACGGGGTCTTAGAATAATAGTCTGGATACTTTAAGCCAGTGGTTTTCAATCAGGGAGATTTTATCTCCCAGGGGCCGTGTGGCAATGTCTGGAGTCATTTTTGCTTAACACAACGCACAGGGTGCTACAGAATCTAGTGGGTAGGGGCCAGGGATGCGGCTAAAGACCCCACAGTGCACAGGACAGCCCCCACAACAAAGAATTATTCTGCCCAAATACTGCTGGGGAACCCTGTTGTAAACTCTGAAAATATTCCATCTTTTCCTCTGGTCCTGGTTCCTCCATCAGAGCCGCCCAGAAGCTAAGAGAGTGGATTTCAACATGAAGGAGCTCTAGCTCTGACACCCATGTAATGACAAAATCTCTTTATTTCTACATAAATTAGCTCATCCTTTTACGTCTCAGTTTCCTCATCTGAATGGTGGGCTGTTGATAATCTGTGTGTTATGAGGAAAAGCCGACCCAAATGATGACCTCTCAGCTGATCCACAGTTCCTGGAGAACAGCCAAATGAGTGGCTCTTAACCTCCTAGACTGTAGGTTGATTCAGGATCTTTTTACACTCTCCTCTCCCCTTGTCCTGCTGCTGCAAAGGAGGGAAACGGGTTTCGTCTGGCCGAGGGACTCCCTCCTCTGTCACTGGGGAGGCAGAATTGCCCCGCCATTTGCTATGATGACCACTTTCTAATAACGGTTTCCTTCCTTTTTCCAGAAGTCCATGTGGAACCTCATAAGAAGCAGCTGCATGTCACCCTGGCTTACCACTTCCAAGCCAGCCACTTACCCACCCTGGAGAAACTAGCCCAGAACATTGATGTCAAACTAGGCTGCGACTGGGTGGCCACCATATTCTCGCGAGATATCCGGTTCGCGAACCATGAGGTAATGTCTCCCTGTGGCTCCTGACCCTACCAGAGGAGCAGGGGTGCAGTCAGAAGCAGGAGCACTTGCAGCTCACTGCTGCAGGGAGATGGGTACCAAAGGAAAGCAGTGAAGTGAGCACCAGACCAGGAGTCAGTTGGCCCACAATTTTCTCCAGGCTCTGCCTGACTCCCTGGGAAGCTTGGAGCTTGCACCCCTCCTCCCTGGGTCCCAAGTGACTCATCTGTGTGCTGTCCCCATTGTTCTGTCTGTCCTACCAACCTTACTGGACTGATACAGAAATGGCATGGGAGGATAGAAAAGTATGTTGGAAACATTTTAATTCTGTAAGTTCGTGGTGTTCATAAAAGACCTCATCCAGATCTTAGGTAAGGAGAACACAGAAATACCAAAAAAAAAAAAAAAAAAATCTGTGAACACATAATTAGATATTTGCTAAGTATCGATGGCATGTAAGTTACCATGGAACATACTAGAATTGTCCTCAAGGAGTTTGAGTCCAGCATTGGGGGTGGGGGGAGGAAGACACACAACCTAAAAACAGAGACCACGTGTTGTGATAGTTTGTGTTCATCCCCTGGGGGAGGCGGGAGTGGGACAACTGCCTCCCAGTGCATGGTGGAAAGGTTGGCATAACCCTAGCATCCTTCTTTTGAGGGAACGGTTATTGATTTCCAGGACAAGCCTGTGCCACTCTGAAGAGTAATATTCAGAGAAGCTGAGATCCAAAGAGAATAGCTGGCTGATCCAAAGCTAACTAGCAATTTAGGACCAGAGCTGAAGCCAGAACCCAGGGATCCCGACCAATAAAGCCAAGCAAGCAATCAAAAAAAAAAAAAAAAAGGCCACATAGTTTGATGAAAAATTTGTCATTCAATTTAACTACAAAACCGTATTTGTTTCCCAATTTTTCAACAGCAAAAGGACTGGTATTTTTGTCAGTTTACCTAGCTTTTTTTAACCTGTTAGACTTTTTTTTTTTTTCTCATATGAGAAACAGTTGGGATCTCAGGGTCTAGACCAGCCAATCTCATCACTGTTTTGGAAATGTTGAGAAGAGCCGACCCATGAACCAAAAGTGAGGGCCTGGGCACGGGGTCTATGACTGTCAGGGACATGCAGCTTTGTCCGATGCTGCTGACAGGAATGTTGTGTCCTCCTTCCAAGTCATTTGATGGAAGTTTCTGGAAAGACACACAACAAGGAGGCTGGACTTGATCTTACTTAAGAATTCTGACAGCTCCTGGAATTGCTCAGGATGAGCCCTAAATATAACAAGGGAGGTGTGGCTGACTGGGCTCCTTACAAGGACAAAGAAAAAAAAAAGTCAAGGGTTGCATGCACCTGGACTGAGAGAAGTCACCTTTCTAGAGAAGGAAGGTGGCAATGGAATTTTACAAGGAATATCTTCTAATCAACACTGCCCTCCAGTTAACTCGAAGGGTAATTGCTTTTCTGCCTGACCCACATTCTGCTCAATTGGCACTGAGGGAAAGAGGCAGCAAGCACCCATGTGAAGTATTTTCTAAAAATAACTTGGCCTCTTTTATCTCTTATTTGTAAAAGCTCATTTATTACTGTTCCTGCTGATACAGCTTGCTCTCGGAGGTCATTTGGCTTTACCTGAGCCCCCCTGCATAGAAACACCCTTTCCTGCCTGCCTTCTTCTGTCCCCAGGAGGCAGGTTTGACTGATGGTACCAGGGAGGCAACAGATGTCCAGAGAAGCAGAGTGGTTTGGACAAGGACACTCAGCAAGCCAGGCATAGGAAAGCATCTAAGGCTCATCCCTCTGCTGGCTCCCACTTTGATTTGGATTTGCAAATGCCTAGTTGTACGTTCCGTAGTCTTCCGTGTTAATGATTACGTGGGGCCATGCCAGGTCTGTATGCCAAGCGATAGAAATCTGAGGAAGGACAGCATTACACACAAAGCACATGTGGCTCCAGATCCTTCGGCGGTCCCTAGGGTCACATCTACTGCTTCTAGAACATTCCAGTCCTTAGTTGTCTCATGCATACAATGGCGATAGTATTTTGCTGGACTGTTGCTGTTGTGTGGACTCCATAAGAAGATAATGGAAAGGTCCCAACAGCACAGCATGCATGCAGCAACAAAATTTCTGTGGTTACAAGGAGGGCAAGGAGCTTCGAAGGCAATGAGGTTAGGTTCCTACAATCACGTAGGGCTGCAGCTGCCCTCCCCCCCACCCCCGCAGACGAACGGAGAAAAAATATCTTTGAGATAGACTCAACAATTCTTACAGGTAAATGCTAAGCATAAAAGAGTAAGTATAATGCAGTGCAAAACTAGGCACGTGTCCTGCTAGCTCTCAAATGTAGGCTGACTGTTTGCATGTGCTTTTGGTGAGCGGAATGGGCTGCACCGATTATAATTTTAGATTTGCCACAATGTCTTATTTTATTGGGTATTCAATAAATCAGAGCTCCTCATTGTCTTAACTACCCTCTGCTTAGGACGCATGGTCTCTTATGCACCTTTGCTGTGCCTCAGTTTCCCTGGAGGTAACCTGGAGATAGAATACTCCCCCCCGCCCCCCCGCCACCAAGTGAGAGGAGGAATGAGTTCTCGTCTGAAGTCACTTTCCTTGAGTTTCTGAAAGGAAAGACACTTCTAGGCCAAAGGTATAATTAGTCAAAACTATGCTATGTTTGAGTATCTAAGAGACATGAGTTTCGACTTGTTCCCCCATGATTTGGTGCCTCTCTCCACCCTGTTCCAGGAAAAAGAGTTGTTGCTTTCTGTGCATCATCACGTTTGGTTTTGTTTCGCTTTTTAAGCTGTTTTCACAGCCCAGCAGAAAACGTCCCTGGCTAGTTTGGAATGATGGCTTGAGCACGAATGTGGCAGAGGACAGGGGAAGGAGTGGGAGGCAAACAGGGGCAAAGATCTAGAGCTGAAAGATAACCGGAGAGTAGGGAAAGAAACAGGCATCTGAGTGAAAGGAAAATCACAATCCAGTGGTACAATTGAGTTCTGTGTGTTTTCACTTCCATTCTCCGAGGGGGGGAAAAAAAAAATCCACAGCTTTTTGCCAATGCCTTTCCTTAGAGAATTCCAGAAGGACATTCTTTATAAAGTGTTCTGATGGGTCTCCTTGACTGCGACACCGGCGAGCTGGTTCGCTCACAAGCACACAGTCCAGGGGTCAGGCTAGAAGGAAAATCAGGCGTCATGGTTCAAGAGACGTAATTATGCACCTTCTGTGCACAGGCTCTGTCCTAAAGAGTTTTCTTAGATTGTCTCAGTAACTTTTACAGTCCAGACATTATTTTACAGATGAGAAAAGGGGGTGCCAAATAAGGTTAAAAACTTGAAAGTGCAACCCGGATAGTTAGCCCACCACTAATGACTTCAGGACTGTGGGAAAGACTGTTAAAGTATCTCCATCTTTGTGTCCCACATGACATAAATAGGATAGGAAATATTTCCCTGGCTACTGAGGGCCTTTGCTGTTAATGAAAAAGTAGGAAAATGTTTTCCAAAGTATCTTCATGCCGATGCTGTTTATATATACCGGGAAAGGAGGCAAAAAAATCATATAAGTCAGCCGAGCAGCATGCCCTATGGTTGGCTCTGAAGGCTCTTTCTGAGCCCAAAGAAGAAACACGTGGTCTCCATCTGTTCACTGGTAAAAGTCAGTTACACAGACGTACACACCGATGGCTGTGAAAGATATTTTTCTTTCAAGGTCTTTGTGACAAATGCTGGTTTAAAGAAAGCTCCTTGAAGGCAGAGAGTGTCTTGTTTAAGCCCCTGAGTTACATATAAAGGGAAATGCATTGGTCTCAAAGCCTTCCTACAAGGGGAGTGTCTCCACCCAGACCATCTGTAACCCCCATATGGAAGACTGACTTTCCATGAGCGGGGTTTCAAGTGTCTATTACGGTGCCTCCCCCAACAGATGGAGAAGGGAAAACTAGGTCCAACCCCATTGGTATAGCAGCTTAATAGAGCTTGCAGATCAATTTCTAGAAACTATCTGAATCCTGACAGAAAGAAAGACAGACATGCCTGAAGGAAAGTCTGGAGCCATCCAGTAGCACCAGGCACATATCCACAATACCCTGGGGAAAAGAAAAAAAAAAAAAAAAAGACACGTTTTGTGATCTGAGTCCAAATCTGCTCTGAGCCTGCAGACCCCAGGGGCGCCTGTAAATGTCAACATCTGGATGTGTGCGCCGTTAGAGCAGAACACACAGACGTGCCCGGGAGGCACTCAGACTGGGTCACATGTGGGCCTCCCTCCTCCCTCTCTTCCTCTTTCAGACATTACAGGTGATCTACCCGTACACCCCACAAAATGATGATGAGCTGGAGCTGACCCCCGGGGACTTCATCTTCATGTCTCCGATGGAACAGACCAGCACCAGCGAGGGTTGGATCTATGGCACATCCTTAACCACCGGCTGCTCTGGACTCCTGCCCGAGAATTATATTACCAAGGCTGACGAGTGCAGCACCTGGATATTTCATGGGTGAGCAGACTGAGTTCTTCGCGCATTGCTTCGGGGAGAACACGGCCGCCGGGCGGGAGGTCGTGGGGAAACAGACGTGAGCCTGGACACACGGTGCAGCAGCAACAGGAAAGGAGTTCATGGGGAAGAAAGCTTTTGGTTCAGGGCATTCAGGAAAGGGTGACTTGGGGCAGGGGAAAAATGACGGATGGATCCACTCTCCTGCCCTCTGCCTGCCCCACTTGGTGAAACCGTCTGTTTCTGATCAGAAACTACACAAGGCAGCTAGAGGGACCATCTCTCCGGCTGAAGTGTGGGTCATCCCAGTGCTGAGACTTCATGGCCTTTGGGCTTCTGTACTCTTTGTCCTGGGTCATTGCTCAAGAGTGGTCTGACTCCCCAGAATAGCAGGCAGGTTCCCATTATGCCAGCCAGACCGGGAGTGATGGGGTTTTCAAGGATCAGGAGACTTAACTGTTAAACTCTCAGCTTGTTGGGCGACCCTGAGCAAGTCCCCAGACTGGGCACATAAATGCCTAGATGAGAGAGACCATCTAAGGAAATGGGCAACTGCCAGAACCTTCAAAAGACGCATGGTGGCCCTTAGTCTTCTTTAGAGTGATAACTGTCCACCCATCCCTCACTGCCGTTTTGCCACCAAGCAAAACTGGTCCCGTGTTCTGAGTGGCCTGTTGTCGGATGGCCAGCTTTGTCTGGACAGATAAAATAGGAACGAGAGGCACCTTCTCTTTTTTAATTGGAGCCACTCGAAGCCAGCCCTTCCCCAGCGTACTCGGGCATCTCGCCAGGGTGCGCACGCTGGCTCGTCTCTCCTCCCTCTTGCCATGTACCAACGTGGCTGCGAGCCGGACGCTCTGAGCACCAGCTGTGTGGGGTGTCGAACATTGTTATTACCGCCATAAAAGAGAAGAAGAGAGGGGCAATTTCAGCAAGTGTTTTGCCTGGAGGGAGAAAAGAAGACTCTCTACCCCAGTTAGCGGCAAGCAGACAAACCACAAACCCAGAGATGGGAAAGAACATCTTCTTCCTGAATGATCCCCTACCCCACCATTCCTTCCTCTTCCTTCCAGCCCACCGCCCACCCCCACCCTGCCCAGGAGCATTTTGTAGCACAATTGGGAGGTCAGAGCTGCCTCACGGTCCCCAAACATTTGCTTTTTCCCAGAAATCTGAGTTGAATGTCCAGAGTCACCATGTCATCCCTATAAAAACAAGTGAAGCATAATGTACGTGAATACACGGAGGTCTAAGATGTTTTGTCCGATGATGCACAGCGCCCACTTTTTTCAAAGCCAGGCTATATGTGGGAGAAAAGTCTGTGTGAGAAGCCCTGCTGATCCATTTTGGATCAGTGTTTCCAGATCCACTCCCATCCAAATTAGAGCCCGTGCCGAAACACGGTGACACTGGTTCATGGATCACAGGGAGGTTTGCGTGTCCTCTCCTTTTATTTGGATAGATTACTAGCGAGGAGATCACCCTGGGAACCATGTCTGAGGTTAAACTCTCAGCTGCCACAGCCAAGGCTGCTCAGAAACTCACAGTAGGTGTTGGGACACCATAATCAAGAATTGAGTGTTTGTTCCAGTAGTCTTGGGTTCCATTCCTAACACTCCCACTCAAAAGCTGTGTGACCTTGGCCAAGTTACATTACCTCTCTGAGCCCCTGTTTGTTAATCTATAAGATGGCGATAAGAATTGCATTTACCTCACAGGGGTGTTAAGACAGCAAGAAAGGACTTGACTTTACATTGATTGGTGCCACATATATAAAAACACTGAATCGAAAAAGCCATCAGCTTTGTGATTTTTTTGTCTTTTCTTTCCAACTTGTGTTTTCCAGTCCTCTCCTACATGCTTGTCAAATCAAATGTCTCTTCCACAGAGGTGATCCTATAGAAGAACTGCACTTTCCTGTTTAACCCCAGAAGCAGAAACGACTTAAGGACAGATCTTAAGACAGATCATCTCTCTCTCCCCTAACCAAAGTCGGCCTCGAGGGGTTAGAGCCCCGAGAGGTGCTCCAGAATCACCCGGTTGCCTTAATGGGAAGTTGCAGAGGGGATCCAAGCAATAGGGGTCAGTTACCCTTCACAGCTCTTTCTTGCTGCCCTGTTCTTCTTCTCAATTCTAAGTCCCTTCTAAGGAGATCTTTTCCTACCACCCTTATACTAGGGCATCTTGCCCAGTTCTAAGTGGCTCTAGATACTTGTCAGTTGGTGAAGCCCCATCGTGTCCTTTGAATTGCAGGTGGGGGGCTGGCTGGTCCTTCTGGGCTTCACCCATAGGACTGATGTATCCTAGGGAGGTGCCGGCATCCCCCACCCCCAGGACTTGAAAAGATGTCCTGGCTATCAGGCTTCAGCTTCCTCCCTCCGCTACTCTCAGCATAAAGCATCTGACTATTATCTTACTGGAACTGACAGCACCAAACTATCCCAGAGCGAGTCAGGTCCTTTGATTACAATGACAGTTAAGAAGGGAAGGAGGTGGTCGCCTGGGTGGCTCAGTTGGTTGGGCGACTGCCTTCGGCTCAGGTCATGATCCCGGAGTCCCGGGATCGAGTCCCGCATCGGGCTCCCTGATCAGCAAGGAGCCTGCTTCTCCCTCTGACCCTCCCCCCTCTCGTGCTGTCTCTCATTCTCTCTCGCAAATAAATAAATACATAAATAATCTTAAAAGAAGGGAAGGAGGTTGGCATTCTCCTTGCCAACGGAGCTGAAGGAGAGAGAGAGGAGGGGGTCTGCCAGTGTCTTCACAGCTATAACAAAGGAAAGAAATTAAGGGACATGTGCAAGCAAGATATCAAAGACGATTCCATCTATCCAGACATCTCAGGCCCCAAAGCTTTGATGAATCAGACAGTGAAATGGAATTTTCTTTAACAGTGATGTTTGCAAAGGAGAGCACCTGCCTATCAGACTGTGAACAGCACTAGATTTTCTTTGTCTACAGTTGCTTAATTTTTTCACTAGGTCCCTTGGGCTGCACATCACACTTAGCTGATGCCAGTCTATTGGGCTGCAGCTTCCCGGGCCCCACCCCAGATCTGCTGAATCACAGTCTGTGACAAGTCGGGCCCAGACGTGTATTTTCTAAAGCTCCCCTGGTGGTTCTGAGAGGCACGAGGGCTGACATGTCACTTTTTGAGGGTAGGAGGCTTCTGAAACCTTTGTGTGCAAGGAGGGATGAGTCTATGTACAGACACAAAGGGGGTACTTCAGAGAGTGGACAGAGTCCTAAAATTATTAAAAATCATAGCATTTACAAAACGGTTTGCCTCACAACCAGTCAGCTTTATTATATGGCTGAATATAAAAAGTTCTTTCCCAAGATGAATTTCGAAGACTACAACTGTGTTAACACTTAATATTCCTGAACAGATGAGGTTAACAGGTACGAACCAAGACTGTGCTGAGCAGACTCAAATGAACGGCCACCATTGTTATAAAGAAGGAAGAAATCTAAAATTTAAATGCTCTCCCTTGAACACTCCTCGGTGAGGCAGAGGAGATATTCATTGGATTTGCCTCACAGCCGTACTTACATGGCAAATGTTTATTAGATAAAGCCTTTTGGAGGCCTCGCTAATTGAAATAATTTAAACATGGCCTAATTTGCTGCCCCCTGTCAGTGAGACCTCTGGGGGGCTTCTGTAGTTAGTGTTACACCCAGAAGTGAGAGGTCTTGGCCCACAGCTCTATACATCTGCTGAGAATGGCCTCCTCTGCAATAATCCTGTATTTAATCATCTCGTGGGAGGTATTATTAAGATGGGGAGAGCAGGGGGCTGGGGGGGGGGTAAGGAAGAAGGTGGAATAGGGGGAGAATGGCCATAAGCCTTCCTTGATCATTAGGCAAAGTGGCTGAGATAGTAAGAATCCTCCCTCCAACTTAGCAGTTCGGATGGAAATCACCATGGAAAAGATTAAAGGCAACAGGAATTGTGGGTTTTTTTTTCTTTTGAGCCAGAAAAGTAGCTGGAAACAATGGTACAAAATTGATAAGTCGTTAGTCTTTAGCACGCCTTGGCACCAAGCATGCCTGCCTGGGGCATCCTAAAATCAGGGCCCCATCCCTGCCTGGAGAGACGAACGCATCTATTCCAAGTACAGAAATCCATCCACCCCTGATTTAGTAACTGCAAGACTTCAGTATAAAACAAGATGTTTCTCTCCAGAAATGGGATGTGCACCATTGAGCCCAATGGTGACATGCTGATGAATTCTGGCCAAACCAGTTACCGTCTTCCTTATCTTCTCCTGCAGTTCTTACTCGATCTTAAACACATCATCTTCTAACCCACTCTCATTTGGTGATGGTGTATTGGAGAGGCGGCAGTATGAGGACCAGGGCCTGGGGGAGACGGCGCCCCTGACTATCATCTGCCAGCCCACGCAGGTAACACTGACCCTAAGTGGGAGGGCTTGCCCTTGCTGCCCCAAAGGGTCCCCAATCTCTCAGGGAGAAAGGGCACGAAATTATAAAAGATACACAGAAATGTCAGGCTAGGAAGAGTCACGTGGATGGACCAGACAGCGTCTACCGCATCCAGGTCTAGTCTGGTAGAGAAGGTGGCTCTGCAAACATATTATCTGTAAAGTCATAAGAGTTCTATCTATTTCAGAGGCCACTGTGACATTAAAGAAAGTAAGAAGGCTCTTAGCCCAGTGCCTGGCCCATGGTGAGTGCTCACGTATGTCTGAGGGCTCAATATATGCCAGGAACGTTGCAGAATGGAGGAGTGGGGGTGAGGATCATTCTGAACAATAGAGACAAAGGCAAGTTGAAGATCAAGAGACTAGATCACATTGGCTGGAGCCCAGGCTTGAATTAGGGAAGAGTAGCAGAAGAAACGGGAAAGATCATGGCACTATCCCACATATTAACCCTGTCAGGGCAACTAACTGGCAGCAAATGTAAAGTGCTGGCCACACTAGGGAAACTAGGAATAGCCGACGATCAACAAGGAACACAGAAACATCTATAAGGATCCACCCAGCAGTTATAGAACCTGAAGTCATTTGGACATGCCTTTGACTAGACTTGCCTATTTCATCACTCCAAGGGAGCACCTGTCCTCCCTGAACCATTTCTGGGAACACCAGCACACATGTAGAGAGACAACAGAGCCAAAGTTGTGACCAGAGAAGCCCAAGCTGGGGGAGACTATCCAGCCATATGGCCTCACTACCATATGTTAGAGGTGAGGCAGACACTTTTGTGAGAAAAGTCCTCGCTCCCTGAAGTTGTGGATCAAGTATCCCTTTGGGGGAGGACTAGATGGCCAGCCCGACCTACTGGCTAGCTCTCCCTCGGAGCTGTAACTCAAGTGGTCTTCACGTTTTAGCAGCGGCCAAATGCTACTCCTATAAACGACCCCAGGACAACACTGGTGTGCGCCAGTCTTTGCAACCCTTTGATTTGATAAAACACCTTCAATTCATCTCATCTGAGCCTCAAAACAACTTGTGAGGTCTATAGGAGGAGTCTTAGTGCCCCCATCGTACAGAGAGGCCAACGTAAATCCCAGGTGGTTCCGGGACCCGTCCCAGTCCTACGCTGGCCGAACTTGTTCTAGAGCTCAGCTCTGCTCCTGGCTCCGGGATGTGTTCACTTTCTTCTGTGCTCCCCCCGCTAATAGTCTTTCTCTCTCTACAGCCTCTGAGAGTCAAGAGCCAGCCCGGCCCTCAAAAGAGATGTCTCTTTGTGTGTCGGCATGCTGAGAGGATGGATGTTGTGTTTGGAAAGTACTGGCTGTCCCAGTGCTTTGATGCCAAAGGTGAGTGGTTGGTTGACCTGCTTAACATTGGCATACCTGTCATGGCCTCTAGGGGGCAGAGTCAAGCTACATTTGTCTAGATGGGGTCCTTTAGGGTTGTTCCGCGTCCTGTAGGAAATGCCTATAATCTGTTACAACGTAAGTCCTTCCTGATGGTCTTGAGTGTTAGGGAAGAGGTTAAGTGTTCTTGTCCCCATTCTATAAACTGGGACACCAGGGGCCAAAGAAGGCAAACGTCTTGCCCGTGGTCATTTGGCAGAGGCAGAGACAGGTGTCCTGATTCTGTGGCCAGAATTCCCTCCATTACGTCACACTGCCTTATGTTGGTTCCCTTTTCATTTGAGTGGTGCGCCTAAGAGTGAGAGGCTTGCGTATCATACAGTCCTCCTGCTCTAGAGTGTGTGGTTGTTACTGCCACTTAAAAACGATCTCTTGTCACTTTCATCAACAGAATGCAGGAGCAGATGCCAAGACTCTACCAGAGGAAAAGTGTGCGCTTCAGTGTTTTCTAGAAAGTTCAATTCCATTTCTTTGGCCCAAAAGGAATGGAAATGGGGGGCTGTGAGGATCAGCAACAGAAGTCCTAAGGAAAACAGAAAGTCATCCTTTGTCTGACTTTTTTTTTTTTTTTTCAGGCCGCTACATACGCACCAACCTGAACATGCCTCATAGCTTACCTCAGCGGAGTGGTGGTTTCCGGGATTATGAAAAAGATGCTCCGATCACCGTGTTTGGATGTCTGCAAGCAAGACTGGTGGGTAAGTGTCCTGGAGTGATTGCACAACCTTTCCTGGCTACTTCTTCCAAAGACTGGTTCCAGTGGGCATGCCAGGACTCTTTCTACGGTTTTCTACAACTTTCCTACAAGTAATTTATTTCCCCAATTCAAAAGGGGATTTATTACGCAACCATAAAGTTCAGAACACTGTGCTTGGCACTGGGCTGGTTCACCAAAGTGAATGAGGTGTGATCCCTTGAGGGCTGTATGACCCAGTGATGGGGTAAGGTCAGCTTCTAGCGCAGGGGTGCAGAGGAGAGAAGCCTGGAGTGGCTGGGTGTAGAGAGGCCGACTGGATCCTTTGAAGATGGTCAGCTCTTTGCAGTTCTATTCCATACCTGCCAGGCAGAGATAGCAGCCTTGTCCGGTTCACATTCACTGATCACTTACTTTGTGCAGGGTCCTATGCTAGGTGTTGGGGATCCAAGCGAAAGCCCCCACCCTTAGGGAAACAAACTTTTAAGTGGATAAATATCATACATCCTGAGTATGCTCAAGAATAAAACTGTGTACAGAGAATTAGGAGAGCATAATAAAACACACAGAAGAGGGGAGGAGAAGTCACCTGGGCAGAGAAGGAGCAGGAGGGTAGGAAGTGTATGCCTGGTGGGGAGAACAACATAAAGTCATAGGCGTGAGAAATAACATCGAAAGTACTTAGAAAAAAAGCTCTCTTTTTCTAGAACATGGCTTGTGAGTCACACGTGATACGGCTGGTTAACTGGATAAAGACGAGTTCACAGAAGACCTTGCCCCTCCATATTAAGGTGTTTAGACTTTATCCAGTAGAAAAATGAAGTGTGTTCCACGAGGAAAGTGTTAAAGTATCGGGTGTTGGGATTTACCTCTGTTATCTAAGAATATGACAGGCTGAGATCTTGTTTAGTGCAAGATAAAAGTAAAACAAGATCTCATTGGCACAGTAAACTATCTCATTTATATCACAAGTGTGAAATCAGAGCATTCTCGTGCTTCTGGATCTCTCCTAGATGGATATTTTCCTGCCTGTTAGCGCCACAGAGCAGGAAAGAAAAAGACAAGAGGGGGTCTTCCATATGGGTTCTTTCATGGAAACACTGATGAGGGGAAGCTAAAAATGCCAGCTCTCTGTGAGCCCCCACTGACAAGGGGGTTTGCAGGGTCTGCCTGCTGCCCGCTCCCACAATGAGCTCCAGCAAACCGATTCTTTTTTGCCTTCCTTTGCAGGGGAAGCCTTATTGGAGAGCAACACCATTATTGACCACGTCTATTGCTCCCCATCCCTGCGCTGCGTTCAGACTGCATACAACATCTTGAAAGGTTAGACTGGATAAAGGTCAATGAGTCCATCCTTCTGCCTCTAGACAGCCCTACACCTAGGTTATCCTAGACTTGTGGGACATTAGCCAATGGAAAGCTTCAAATGTGGAATTCTTAGCCATGATTCTTTTGGAAGGTGTCTTTGCAAGCGTCCCCAAGTCATACTCTGGTGGCATTAAATGACATGGAAGGAGGTATACAGATCATTTTTCGCTTGAAAATGTAAAGCCCTCTCGGATGAATGGTAGGCTTGTGAAATATCGTTGTCTGGCAATAATTTGGAGCTTACAGAGTGTGATCCTTTTTTTGCAGTGAAACAGTGAAATCATTTCCTCCCACTCTGCTCTGTTTTTGCTTCTTGTTTACAGTAGCAATGGTGCTCCTAAGTATCTACAAATCTTAATCATCCCTGTTTCTGCAGTTAATTGGATGGCTTTGAAAGGACCATTGCTAAAAAGATACTCAACTTTCACCCTAAAATCAGGGGAAGCTTGAGTTACAGGGATCTCCATTCTCATTTCACTGGAAGGAAAACTAGTAGAAACAGAGTGGAACTATTCACTTATACCAAACAAATGAATGAGCCAGAAATAGCCAAGCCAATGAAGAATGGACACTACCTTTGAGGCTTCTATTCCTTAAGTAAACCAGAATGCATTTATATATTAAAATACTTTATATATTAAAAAACTGGGCTAACGGCAACATAAAGAAAGTTAAACAGGGACAAGTCCTACTCTGAGGGTAATTATTCTTTGAGAAAACACAGGACTTGGAAATACTCAAAACTGGATTTTCTGGTAGAGAAAATGAATAATTTACATGATATTCAAATACAGTATAAGCTATTGTAGAGCAGTGGATGCTAAGAGAATTTCTGAGGTTTCTTAGCAAGGCCATCTTGGGACTTCCCTTAGAAAAAGCCATTCTAGTAGTCACAGAAGTATATACATGATATGGGTAATGACTTGTGTTCCTTTCCTTAAGTCAGAGACCACGTAAAGCCAGCACACATCCTGTTGGTGGGGCCAGTGTATCAAACTCATATGTTTGTCACACATGGAAATTAAAAACCCCTTGACCAAACCCACATGCTTCCACCTTGTTTTAGCTTTATGTGGCAACTGGTAGAAAAGAGAATAGATTTACCAGAATTTGTATGGCAATTCCTTCATCTTCATTTTATTTCACGTCTAAGGTTTACAACAAGAAAACCACTTGAAGATCCGTGTAGAGCCTGGCTTATTTGAGTGGACGAAATGGGTTGCTGGGAACACATTACCTGCATGGATACCTCCATCAGAGTTAGCTGCCGCCAACCTGAGTGTTGATACAACCTACAGGTAACCCTCTGAGCTGCTACCTCCCAGAGTCAGTGTGGATGTACTTTTCTATACCAGGTCAGGCCAACTATGGAGATGAAGGACCAGGCAGAGCCCATGGGCAGGTGTCCATAGTGGTGGGAGTCAAGTTACGATTTGAAAAACCACAACCGGAGAAAGCTAGCATCCCCTCGTACTTAGCACGAGTATGGACACACATTGGGCTTTCCTGACTTCATCAGATCTCTTTCAGTGAATGATAAAACCACTTTGCATTCCAGGATTGTGCACCAGCTAAGGATGATGCAGTTCCAGAAGCTTTTTGGGGGTTAAGGGAAATGACAGGGTCTTGCCTTGGACTGTCATTTTTCAAAGATTTTTAATTCTCTTTATCTTCATTTATTATTGCCATAACCCCAGAATAAAGGTGAGCCACTTTAGGAAAGCCTCTTGTACTCTCTTATATATGAAAGTCATTCACTTAGTGACTGCACATAACAATGATGGCAACAATAACTAAGCTCTATTGATCATTTTCTGCGTGTCAAGCACTGTGTAATCTAATCTGCTTTACCATCTCCCCATTCCTAGTTCTTTGCTTTTTCCATGAGACCAGACTGTGCTGGGAGTAAAAAGAAGTGTTTAGAGATTGATCACAAATGAATAATTCACATGGAAGCAATTAATGTAACTATATTATTATTGGTGAACTCTCAAAACTGCACTCGGGCGTTTGTAAAATGTCCCTCAGAAGGGATATTCATGCCCATTATAGAGGGGAATTAAGTTCATATTTCTTCAGGCAGAATTTGAAGCAAGTGACCAATATAAATAGCAGTTTCCTCCTTGTGATATCCTATGACCTTTCATTTCAAATACCTACCCAAACCACAAATGAAGCAGTGTGAGCTTCTGGCATGGATAGGAGAAAATATCTTCTTTCCATATTCATTTTCCTCTTTTGTAAATAAAACTTCGGATGACCCCATAAATTAATGTGTGCTACTTACCTAAAGGAATTAGCATGCCTCAAAAATAAAATTAAACCAATCAATCAGATCCCCTACTAATAATTCAATCGAGCCTTGAACAACGTAGGGGGTGAGGGGTGCTGACCCCCACACAGTCAAATTCACATATAACTTTAGATTTCCCAAAAACTCAACTACTAATAGCCTACTGTTGACCAGAATTCTTACCGATAACATAGTCAATTAACACATATTTCGTAATCTAACCAAAGAGGCAAAGAATCTGTACTCAGAAAACTATAAAATACTCATGAAAGAAATTGAGAAAGACACAAAGAAATGGAAAAACGTTCCATGCTCATGGATTGGAAGAACAAATATTGTGAAGATGTCAATGCTACCTAGAGCAATCTACACATTCAAAGCAATCCCTATCAAAACACCATCCACTTTTTTCAAAGAAATGGAACAAATCACCCTAAAATTTGTATGGAACCAGAAAAGACCCCG